AGAGATAAAAAGATATATTTGACCATAGATGACAGAAATTGAAATAACTTGTGAATTCATTAATGTCTACTTAGTTCTTCTCACACACACGTCGATTTTGCATTGAAAAGGTAGATATTAGTTTGGTATTGTGACTTTAAAGTAGTTTGTAGATTTTACACTGTGATTTCAAATCCTAAGGCAAAAAGTTAGATTGTCTAACCAAATATTTTTGCATGTTTGTGTTATAATTTTGTTTGAGGACAAACAAATATTTAAGTTTGGGGGTGTTCAATCAACTTTTTTATTGGCCTTTAGAGTTTTCAAACTTTCATTTTCAGTGCACGTCATATTGAGCAGATTAAAACTGCCAATTTTATGCTAATCAATCACATACGTTGCACGTTATGGTCTTTAGGCATTAAGTCTTTTGTTTTTCATTTGTATTTTTTTTAGGGCAAAATGTGAAATCATGTGGATGTCTTATTTCCCTATCTGTAGATTGTAGTAATTGGTATCTCGTTTGGCGCACTTGCTTTCTCAAGATAACAAAAAGTGCGCCCACTCTGCCCTTCTTTTTTTATCTTAGACTTCGTTCTTCTAGGAGTCTAACTTTCAGAAAAATGACAAATATAATACAATTGGGACCAACGTGCACCAAAAACGAAAGTTCGAAGACCTAAAGATCTCAAAAAATGACTGGGGATCCATATGCTTTATTTGTGAAAGTTCGAGAACTGCGGTTTCTAAATTTCTCTTTACATTTTATTTTCAACACGAAATTTTTGTACAAGCTGAATTCATCTTTTAAATAAATGACTAATTATACGTGCATAATTTTCTCATAAATGAGCGAATATGGAAACCTTTTCGATAATTTTTATATGTCTTGGTATCATGTCAAATTATATTTGATACATGTTAAAACAGATATGCACCACAAACTTTTCGAGTAAATAATAATTAGAAGAAGCTAATTTTCCATACCCTCCATGAAGAATATCAACATCATCTTTGGTGGAGTTAGGCCACATATCTAATTCAATGACTCGTACACCCCTTTGTAGGGCATCTATGATTGGCAAATCACTGCAGTCACTGCTTATCTGATTTCCAGTTAGATAAGAGTTGTGCCCAGTGTAAATGAAATAATGAGACAAAGGAGCAGTCATGTCTTGGTGGACCTGGGATGTCACAAAAATGTTTTCAACCATAAAAATTATTGGATTTTGCTACTTTGTCAGAAGAAAATTAACAAAAGAAAATTAACAGACACAGTGACATAATCCAAGTTGATAAGAGATAATTTAATGGAAAAATTATTACGTTTAAAACAGTTCAATAATAAAATGTTAGATGGTATTATATCAATGATAATGTCAAAGCATGTGGGACTGTAACGGACTCAAAATTATTTTATGTCACCAACTTATGAGTGCAATTGGCGTCCTATGGAAATGTCCAAGATAATCATAAGAGAGCTAAAGGTTACTCTTTAACCAGACATATTGTAAGGCAAGTGGACTTGACGTGACCTGACCTGATCGGACTTGACCTACTTTTTTGAAAGGTCTGGCATGGCCGGGCATGGTCCAAAATTGCTATTCCTATTTTTGAAAAAACATAACAGCCCTACCCAGAGGAGCAGGTCCTTGTGTAAGGATGGGGTTGGACCGAGACTAGCTCTCAACATATTGAGTCGTCCGACGCCCATGCTGCTCCGTCCAGGTCCAAGTTCAAAGATCCACTTACACTTAGACATTGAAATCACTAATGTTTCACTAGATAAACAGCTAAGATTTCATCTCTAGCCTTGTACTTTAGGCAAATAATAATATTGAAGAGAATGATAAAGTAGAACAGACATTATTTTGACTTCTTTTTCATGTAAAATTATAATTTCTTTTTCATATACAAATCTGTCAATTTTTATCTACTCTTTCTATGTATTAAATGTTTCTTTTCCAAGAATTTCCGAAACAAAAACCCTAGCCGTTTCAGAAGTTTTCATGCTATATCTGCAGATTTACCAGGAATAGAAATGGATATGAAAATACCTTAGGAGGAGATGGGAGAGGAGCATTAAGATCACTCAACAGATATTGAAAAAATTCTTCGAGATGCAAACTTTTGCGGTGAAAAATGTTACGATGTTTGTGGAGATTAAGGGAAGACTCCAGCGCATTCTGGGATTCTTCGAGGGTAATTTTTCCTTCACCTTGAACCTCTTGTAAGAAGTTGTGCAGATGCTCAACTGTCATTACACCATTTTCAGAGTATTTTTCGAATAAAGCTTTGATTTCAGCAGGAGTTTCAGCTTCCTTCTGTCTGAATCCCCTACTGAAACAGCAACACACTCTGTATGTTTGTTTCGACATGTGTGTGTAGTTTTCCACAAGAGAGCAGGTTTGTGTGTGTGTGTAAATAGATGGGGAGAGAGAGGAGAGGGGCT